TGAAAAAGGCAAAACTATGAAGACAGTAAAGAGATTAGTGGTTGCCACAGGTTAGTGAGGAAGAAGGAATGAATCACTGTAGTAGAGACAATTTTCAGGGCAATAAATCTAGTCTGTATGATACTATAATGGTGGATACATGTCATCGTACATTTGTTCAAACCCATAGAAAGAACACCAAGAGTGAAATCTAACATAAACTACAGACTCTAGGTGATAATGCTGTGTCAGTGTAGGTCCATCCATTGCAACAAATGTACCACTGGGTGGGGGTGAGGGTGTGGATGGTATTGATAACAGTAGAGACTGTGCGTGTGTTGGGCAGTATTGGGGAAATACCTTTTATTCAAATTTTCTGTGAATTTAGTCACTCTTAAAAAAATACTCTATTTAAATAGAGATTTCTGAACACTTGTCCAAGATTTACTGAATCAGAACTTTTGCTGTGGGGTCCTAGTATCTACAATCTTTAAAGTACTCTGTGACTCTGACGATCACCCTGGTTTGCAAATGACAGGCCAAATTGCAATTGAAGCTGAATATAATCAATTAGAAATTATGAAAGGTTCACATAAAATTGTATGAGGAAACTGGGACATTATGAAGGATAATGACTTAAGGAGAATGGATTCCCCAAAAATCTCATTATGCATTGTCATTCATATCTAAGTCATGACCAATGTGTGTATGAAAAGTGATGTCCTTCTCAAATGACCAAAGTTATAAAAACAAAAGAAAAAAGAGAGAAAGAGAGAGATGATGTTTGACACTGTTGTTCCATGCACCCTCTTTGAATAGTAAGGTCGTAGATTGTAAGCTCAATGAGGACAGAGCTCTCTTTGTTTTTGTCTATGTACCTAGCATCTCTCCTAATTCCTGGCACATGGTAGGTCCTCACATTGTGTCTGTTGAATGAATAAATCTCCCCCTCCTACAAGAATACCTGGGTCTGATTAAGGCCTTTTTGTGTGTTTTCCGCAAAATCTGTGTGTGCAGATATGACATATCTTTGCCAGCATTTATAATAGTATACTCAAGTAGAGCTTTTGCTTGTTTGTTCCTGCTTTCCTTTCACTAATGATAAATTGCCTGAGGGCAGGGACCATATAATTTTCCACCATGTTTCTCAGTACTTAGAACTGAAGGCACTTAGGAAATGTCTGTTAAATAAATAAATGATTTGAAAAGGCAAAATCTGCTTTTTTATCTTCCAAAGCTGCAATTGAGCTTCCACTGCCATGTATTTCCCATATTCTCAGGAGAGTGGATGGATGAAGAGGCGCTTATTGAAGACAAAATAGGAATGGGTGTCTGGGAAGGTACATCCTGGAGCAGAAATTCACAAGTGGCGTCATCATTAGATAAGATGCAGGAGTTCAAAGGGCTCAGCAAATGAGGAAATGTCTCCACAGAAGCAGACTCAATACATCAGCAGTTGTTATTTTCAACTGGTACCTTCTGTCACGAAGAATAGCTGCTCTGCCAGGTCAGAATTATTTTGGCCACCTTCAAGGTCATTGTACTTTCCCAGATCTGGCACTGAATCTAGAGGCTGGTAAATCTGGCTTCTTAAAGTGGATTAGGTGGGCCCCACAGAGAGCTCTGTGTCCTGGCTGTATTCCCAATTCTTACAGCCTAAAGCCCTGGGGATGTTTCTCTGAGGACAGCCACCTCTTTTGTCCCTATTTGGATTTGAGTCTAGCCTCCTGGACCTTAGCCTTGTGCACTACTTTATATACTCTCATTGCCCACATCTGCTCTGCTACAACCACGAGCTTTTTCTCACCATCATAAGGGTATTCTGGTAGGGAAGACATAAATTAACCCGTGGCCAGAGTCCAGAATCAGAAATTGACTTATATATAACTGTCAAAAACAAAATCAAGAATGAATGAATGAATGAGTTTCTGTTGAAAAGCACTTGAGTAATGATATGAAATTCCATCTCTGTTTTCTGTCAGTTCCTTAAAATTGCTTAAATTCATAACCCTTCCATGTAAAAATGGGAGTTACATTGAAAGACTTTCTAAACCTTATCCAGAAAATCAGTGAGCTAATTATTTGAACCAGATGAAAGAACTGTCCATGCAGACCCTTCTCCCTTGTCCTAATTTCTGTTTGAATTCCATCAACCTCTTATCTCAAACAAGGTGATTGGATGCAGTTACTGTTTGTACAGAGAACAAAGCAAAGAAGTAGTGATAAAAATTTGAAAGTTCATTTCCAAACCCAGCATAAGAAAATGGGGAGTGGTCTAAAAAATTTTACCTAGAGAGAGGTGACCAGTAATTACAGAATACTCTTACTTACTCTATCAGTTACTAGATTTTCATATTCCATTGTTCAATAGACTGGCATAGTAGAGTATGGAAAAAAAAAAAATGACCAGAGAGGCTTGTGGCTTTGTGACTTGTGACTCTTCTCTCTCTTTTTCCATACACTCACAGATGTATATAGATACACACAGATATCTATATCTATCAATATATCTATATATCTAGATATATAAATAGAGCTATCGATGTGTAATTATATCCACGGATATATAAATAATCTAGGCATTAAATATAGATATCTGGGGATAGATGATAGATAGATAGATAGATAGATAGATAGATAGATAGATAGACAGATTATAGATAGATGATAGATAGATAGATGAGAGATGATAGATAGATAGTAGATAATTTTAAACTTATACAGTAGATTTTTTGTAACGCTGAAATAGGATATTTTAGTGGGCAAGCAACCCAGTTAGCTCTACAAGGAAAACTATCTTGTCTGGCTTGTGTGATAACTTCATTGTTGTTTTGGACAACTCTTAGGAGCCTTTCATTTTAACCCCATTTTTAAGCGGAAGGGACATGAATTTAAAATGACTTTGGAAACCTTCCCAAAATATCTTCAGAGAACCCCCTCACCAGGGCAGCCGGAACCATCCTCCACCCAAGGCCCATGGGAGGCAGTGGGAGAGGCCCTCTACTCAGTAAGAGATGTAAGAAACCATTTCAGGCAAAGTCTGGGAAGACAACTCTCGCCCCTTCCTCTCTGTTGGACTTCCAGCTGCTCCATCTGAAAACACGATGCGCTGAGACCCTCCCAGCCTCTCCATTCCCGGCTTCCAACTAGAATCCTGGGAAAACAGAATGCGAAATGACCCTTGGGAACACGCCCTCCTTCCCGGAGGAAGGAGAGGGAGTGGCCGAGACCGGGCCAGCACCGCGAGGGCGTGGGATACCGCCCAGGCTCTGCCCCAGTCCCTCAGCCACCTCCTTCCGCACCCCCCACACCCACCCAGCGCGCGAGGGCACTGTCCCCAGCACCCGCCTCAGCACCACTTTGCTCTGACGTCCGCCTCTCCAGCTCTGACGATCGCCCCCGTCGGCCACCCTTATAAAGGGGACTTTTGCCAATACTGGGATCGATCGCCACCTAGCCCGACTCGAGAGCCCTCCGCCCCAGCTCACACACCTGTCAGCTCCGCGCGCGCCCAGGTTCTGGGAGACCGGGGACTGGAACCCCGCCGCCTGGCCCTACCCCTCTCCCCTCGGCACCCCTGACCCTCCCCCGCCCTCCGCACCCTTGGAGCCCCCAACCCCCACGGGGCCTGGGCTGTGGTCCCGGGAGGAGCCCCAGACGGCGGAGCGCTTCCCCGCGCGGCGACCACTCCAGGTAGGAACAGAGCGGTCATCCGGGGCGCCTCGGAGTCCGCTCCCCCTGGGACACGGTGGCCGCCCCATCGGCGTTTTTAGGTAGAAGGGACGCGGCTTTTTCGCCTCTCGGTGGGGATGCGCGGGCGGGTCCACTGTCTGGCACCCATGGCTCTCGAGGTGTATCGGCGGGAAAGTCAGGGCGCTGGAGAGGGCCGCGCGGCCGCGGGAAGGATAGCAGGAAGCTGGGGAGCCGCCAGGCTGGGCCGGGGAAAGAAAGAACTTCCCAGCTCCGGTGTTCACAAAAGCGGAGCGCATCCAGCCTGCCCGCGCTTCTTTCGCTTCCCCTGAATCCGAGGGAGGCTAGTTCTTTCGCCCAAGGTCTCATCACCCACCTGCGGACACAAATACTTGTATTTCCCCCAGAAACGTGCTTGTGTGAACGCGAGTGCATGAAATAGCCATAGTCACGAGGGCTGAAAAATAACAGAGAACAAGAATTCCAGAAAGTGCAGGCGTTAAAACTTGACATCTGTCTCTTTAAGAGTTCTGTTTTTACTACCTTTGACGCCCTCATATTTTTAGGCAATTCTGTATTTTTAAGTCGTTTTCTTGCATATATCATTAAAAGGGTGGGGGAGAGATGAAAAGAGCAAAGAACAATGGATGAGGAAGAAGAGCTGCCCAAGAGGGTGCACCCTTTAAACAATGTAACATCTTTAGTTGCTACAGTAACTTGGACCACAGGCACTTGTTGAAAATTGGAATTGATGTGTTTTTGAAACTGATTTTCCTAAAGTATTTTTCCCCCAGATATTTGCATGTCACATTTCTTCTGGAACCATTCCCTGAAATTGTTTGAAAGGAGAGATAGAGGAATGAATGAATGAATGTAAGACTGTTAGAATTCTGAGTAGTTTTACACTACCCTTTAGTCACTGAATAATGTAAGTTAGTTCCAAAAGCCAAGTACATAATCTTTGTAAATGATTTCTTGACCAAGTTACAAGGTTAATTTTAAATTGAAAGAATTTATTAAACACAAAAAATGACGGTGGTTACATTTGTTAAGCAGCATTTTCTATTTTTTTTCTTTTTCTTATAAGCTCAAAACAATATTAAACTGTTAAATAATAATTAGAATAAAATAGTGGGCATGTGTTCACAACTGGTAGTGTCATGTAATTTCAATGTGCTTTGTCTGTAAGCGACACAGGATCTCTCATGAGCCAGCTGGTTTATTCCCAGCTGCCTATGCATGCTTGGCTGGTTTATAATGTATTACTGTATTTTCTTCAGAAATCTTAATGAAGTAGCTAGCTGTGGAAGAATCTGGACCCCTAAATAAAAATGACTTTCCAAGTGGAAGGACTGATAGCTATCATCGTGTTCTACCTTCTAATATTGCTGGTTGGAATATGGGCTGCCTGGAGAACCAAAAACAGTGGCAGCTCAGAAGAACGCAGCGAGGCCATCATAGTTGGTGGCCGAGACATTGGTCTGCTGGTGGGTGGATTTACCATGACAGGTAGGTTCTGATAACTCCGCTCTGTGCTGCCCACCCCTCCTTAGCTTCTCAGAGTGATAAAGCATACCTTACTTAGTCTTTGTCCTTTGGGGATCCCTTATATTCACTGCTTATATATTCTAAAAATAATTTTACATTTATCTAAAACAAAAATAAAATGGTTTCAACTCAGTAGTACTTGAACAAAATGATTTTATAATAAATCGCTGGACAGAATATCAATGAAATAAATCTGGGCTATCTGGACAGTTCAGTGGGTGGGAACAGAGTAAAAACAAAGAGGTGGAGAAAAGTGTCTTAGTCTTACAAGTTATGTGATCAAGTCAGTGTCTCATGTTCACTAACACAGGCACAAAGTTGTGACTTTGGGTTGTCTTAAATGATGATGGTTTTCAACTAAATAAATCAGTTAGGGGCAACACAATTCCAAATTGATAGATGCCCTGTCTTGAAACCTAATTCTCCCATTTAATAAACTAATTAACTAATTCCCTCAGGGGAAGACAATCACATATTAGGAATCCACAGCACTGGAAACAAAACAAAACAAAACAAAACAATGATTTCCATGAACCTTGATATAAAAGGGGAAAAGCTAGGGCGTGTCCTAACAGGAATGCCTCAGCCAGCATCTGCAGCCCTCTCCCTCACAAACCACCTCTGGACTCTGACGGTCTGATGCCCTGAGATGGCTCTGTTTAAGTGGTGACTTGTTTCTCTTTTATATTCTTCTTGGTTGTGGAAAATGTTTCTGAAAAACAACAATTTAAAATTATATCTTTAATATTCACTAACAACACACATTTCACTTCTGATTCTTACTAGGTTTTTAAACATTAGCAATATAATCCACACTAACTGGAACTCTGAGGGCCCACTGGAAAATATCCCATCAGAAATCATATCCAAATGATGCCCAATTTCATTCCTGATGTGCTATTCAAACAATTCATCTGTAAATGGAATAGTTTACCAAAGCAATCTGTGAAGACTACATCCCTGCTGGCCATCTGAAACCTACCATGTTCTAGAATAGTTTAGGGACTATAGGTTTTATTTTTCAGATATGCATATTTTATGTTCTTTAACTCTTTGTCAACTGTATATGGTTTCATATGATCTTCATGAAGCTCTTTATGTTTGTGCACCGTGAAAGGGCTCTGGGGTTAAGTAAGGACACAGAGTTATGTGGTTAACAAGGACAAGAATCAGCACCAAACCCATGTCTTCTGGCAGCCATGCCCTGAAGCCCCTGCAGGGTGCACTGCATGCAGACCTCCAGCTGAATTCACTTCCTTTCTTTATAAAGGCACTTCCTTTGTAAAGAGGTCCTTTCTTTTTTACCCTCTGTTGCTCAGTTTTTCCATAAACACATATATAGAGCAAATTGTATCATGCAAAATATTTTCTGTGATAGCTAATATGCACAGTTAGATAAGTACAAAAACAGTAAGAATCATCCATAAGCTTACCACCTGCATGTATGTTTACTGAAATGTTGGTATACATTTTCAGATGTGGTTTCTCTTATTATCCACCTATTGATGAACACCATACACAACTTTACATCTTCATTTTCATTGTTTATTATACCACAAACATTTCTTCTCTACCCTAAAGATCCAGATGCGATACTGGCATCTGAAGTGAATTAAAACATTGTGATTATATTCCCTTCAGGTTTTTCCTGTACAAAGAAAATGAGAAGAAAAACAAAAAACAGTGAAAGTTGATCTCCCTTAAGAAACTGTTGAAAAGAATAAATGAGCTGCTCTATATCAAAGTCTTTGTTCATTGTAAATATTGTTCATTATAATGTTCTATTACTCTACTGTTATATCTATTGTGTTCATAAAGATAATATTTCAGAATTTGTTCTTTTATCATCTAGAATGATTTTTTCAATGTAATAGTCTATTAAAGTATATAGAAAAACTTGAATCATGATATTTCATATGAAGTGTCATGGTCTAGCTCATTTTTTAAAGATTTTTTTCAGTCTTTCAGAACTGAAAAGAATCTTGGTCAATATAATAATTCATTTAAAATCTGAACCATATTATCTAAACCTTGTCAGATTCATTAATTATATACATTTGACAAAGAATAAAGATTAAAAAATAAAAATGCATATAGTTTGAAAGAATTCTTGTTCTCACTGGTGAATCTGACATGAAATATACAGACATGAAGAGCAAATTCTGGCCTAAAAGGGATGAGACTGGTAAAAATAGGAGGACTTTAACATGATAAGTAACCAAGTCTTCACTTCTATATTATAATGTTGATATTCAGTCACCAAGTTTGTTTTGGACAAGGGAGAGGAGACCTGCACAGTGAAAAATGATCATTAATAAGCTTTGTGCTCATAAGACCATTTACTTTATGCAATGAAAACATTGCTTGCATGTTGTTCCAGTTGCCTAGCAGGAAAATCAGGTCTGCTTCTGCACCTGTGAGAATCATTTCTTCAAGTCCTAGTTAGACATCCAGTGGAGGGGGGAAACCCTATTTATTTTTTTATTTTTATTTCTATTTTTATTTATTTTTATTTTTTAAATTAACATATAATGTATTATTGGTTTCAGAGGTACAGGTCTGTGATTCATCAGTCTTCTATAATGCCCAGTTCTCATTACATCACATGCCCTCCTTAATGTCCATCACCCAGGTACCCCATCCCTCCAACCCCCTCCCCTCCAGCAACCCTCAGTTTGTTTCCTATGATTAAGAGTCTCTTATGGTTTGTCTCCCTCTCTAGTTTCATCTTGTTTTATTTTTTTCCTCTCTTCCCCTATGATCCTCTGTTTTGTTTCTTAAATTCCGCATATGAATGAAATCATATGATACTTGTCTTTCTCTGATTGACTTATTTCGCTTAGCAGAATACCCTCTAGTTTCATCCACATCATTGCAAATGACAAGATTTCAATTTTTGATGGCTGTGTAATATTCCATTGTGTGTGTGTTTGTGTGTGTGTACCCTATCTTTTTATATTCATCTGTCAATGGACATCTGGGCTCTTTCCATAGTTTGGCTCTTGTGGACATTACTGCTATAAACATTGGGGTCCTTTGGATCACTACATTTGTATCTTTGGGGTAAATACCCAGTAGTGCAATTGCTGGGTCGTAGGGTAGCTCTATTTTCAACTTTTGGGGAACCTCATACTGTTTTCCATAGTGGCTGTACCAGCTTGCATTCCCACCAACAGTGTAAGAGGGTTCCCCTTTTTCTGCATCCTCGCCAACATCTATCATTTCCCAACCTGTTAATTTTAGCCATTCTGGCTGGTGTGAGGTGGTATCCCCATTGTAGTTTTAATTTGTATTTCCCTGATGCTGAGTGATGTTGAGTATTTTTTCATGTGTCTGTTGGCCATGTGGATGTCTTCTTTGGGGAATGTCTGTTCATGTCTTCTGCCCAGGGAAACCCTGTTTAAATTTTCTGGAAGGCTTAGAATGAGAGAAACAAGTAATAGCATTTGTTTTTTGTTAACACCCATGTAAAAGCTTCCAAGCAGATTAGAGTGGCTGCTAAGTGTGTATTTGTCCACTTTAGGATTTTGTATATAAACTTTCCATTTAAATGTGTCTAAAATTCCTTTGCGGGGAAGTCTTTTCATGTTAACCTTTAAATATTAGTACTAACCCCACAACATTCTCTTCTTTGCTTTGTATTTGGATCAAAAGCCAGATAAATTTTGGCATGAATACAATAGGTGTCTACCTGTCTTTGATAGTTTCATGTACGTATTTTTTATTTTACTTACATTCTGTGAGATTTCAAATAACTTTTCAGAGTCAAATTTATTCCCAGCTGGATGATATAGCCTAGAATTCAGACTCATATCTGGTAAGCCAGGCTTTGTTCCTCATAATTTTATACAAATTCTACAAGAGATTTTAACATTTTGGCAATACTCTTGAAAGGATATAAACTATAAAGATTTAAGTGTTCCATTAACTTTAGCTTTTCAGGAATAATCAAATATGATATTGTCTTATCACAGAAAATGGTAGAGTTTATAGATCCTTCTTGGCCCAGCCTTGTTTAACCAACATGTCTTTTCTTTTGTTCCTTGACCTCCTCCTTCAACTATTATGTTACAGATATTCTATTAAATAATACCTGAAGAAGATAATATTTCTTATTTTTCTCCATGAAATATCAAATATCTTACTAAAAGACCCAGATTAAAACAAAGAATACAAGTGGGTATGCAGTCAACATTTCAAATTTAAATTATTTCTTATGCCTAAGTGCATGTTGGGACTTGGGAAGAAGGAGGGAAAAGATAACTTATACTCACTTTAGGAAGCCTTGGAGCAAAAGTGTCATCTCTCCTTTAACATTTTAAGAAAGTAAGTAAGATGTTTAAGGTGTTTAAGAAGTGACCCTATTAATAAAAATAAAATTTAAAAAAAAGCACATGCATCCACAACTGCACATGCGCATACTCCCCCTGCCCCTCCCCTGTACCAGGAATATAATTGTGATCAATGTGAGAAGATAAATACAGTTAAAACAGAAGGCCCTTAAAATAAAGACACTTGACCTCATGTTATGGAGGCTGGAGCGTAAGTTATACTATTATTGAGAATAGAAATAGTCATATAATATTTTGTATATAATGTCAGACTTTGGGATATAACAATATTGTTTGAAAATATTGATGACTAAATAGACTCAGAAAAGACCCAGGGCAACACTGTCCAGAGAAATATGATGTGAACCATAAAGGGAATGTTAAATTTTCTACAAACCACTTTAAAGAACATTAAAAATTAAGGGAATAAATATAAATAATAGAATGTATTTAACTCAATACATTGAAAATGTTTTCATTTCACCAGGTAATTAATACAAAAAAAAAATACTGAGACAGCTTACATTTACTTTTGCATACTTGGTCTTTGAAATCCAATGTGTATTTTACACTCAGAACATTTCAAACCAGAGTAGCCAAATTTCAAGTGCTCAATAGTCACAGGAGGCTAATGGCCACTGTGTTAAACTGAGCAGTATGCTAAGTATGGCCGTGTCTTTCCCTCACTGTTCATTCTATTTCAGCCACCTGGGTCGGAGGAGGTTACATCAATGGGACAGCTGAAGCAGTGTATGTACCAGACTATGGTCTAGCTTGGGCTCAGGCACCAATTGGATATTCTCTGAGTCTGATTTTAGGTAAGTGAAAGTTTAAACCTTAGTGACCCACTCAGTAAAGCATAAAGAACAGAAGTACAAACAACAAGTGCAATAACAAGTCAAACTGTGAATAACTATTGTAAAAAAAAAAAAATGTTACCAGAAATCTCTCAAGTAGATGTTACCAGAAATCGGTAACACTAATGCTTAAGATTATTTGATCCCTTGATTATGGAGTATGATTTTTAAAAAATCCCTTGATCTATGGCAAGAGAATTATGAATTTCTTAACATATGTTTTTTTTCTTTCAAAAATAGTATAGAGGTATCATTAACAATGAATCAACTTGAATTGTACCTGAATTTCTTTTTGTAAATCAAACTAAGAAAAGGTCAAGAATATAATATAACAGAGTTCCTTTTTTTTTTTTTTTTTGCACTTAAAATACATTTATTGGATCTTGTGCTTCATCAGTATCTGAATGCTATGCTGGGTGATACAAAGTCATTTTAGTGAGAGCCACACTGGTCCATGTTTTTCAATCCACATACCTTAGATACACCATTCAATGGCCCTTTGGCTGCATACAATGACAAATGTATTAAGAAGTTCATGTTTGGTTGCTAAATATGTCTTGGTTCTGTACTCACAGTATATTTCAGACTAGTTCTTCCACACATATCAGTGTCCTAAAAAAATTATTTCCCTTGAGAAATTATAGCATAGTAAAAAGTTGGCAAAACTATTATCTTATGAATTTTTTATTTTCTCATAAACACTTGTTTAATTTATTTTAGGTGGTTTGTTCTTTGCAAAGCCTATGCGTTCCAAGGGATATGTGACCATGTTAGACCCATTTCAGCAGATCTATGGAAAACGCATGGGTGGGCTCCTATTTATTCCTGCACTAATGGGAGAAATGTTTTGGGCTGCAGCCATTTTCTCTGCCTTAGGTAAGGACCTCTGCCTCTCTCTGGTTAACGGAACATCACATACCCAACTTTACTCCCTTAAGCCACAGGCCAGGCCACCTGCAGCCTCCCTCACCTGGATGAATGCAACCATCTCCCCGCTTGTTGTTCAGCACTCCTCCTCTAGTCTACACATAGTACAGACTCATCCTTCTAAAATGCAAATCTGATCATGTCCCTTCACTGTTCCTTTCCAAACTTTTAAGTGCATAAAGCTTTTTATGACTTAAGCTCTGATTCCTCTCATCATCGCCCCTCCTCCTTCCTTTTCCCAGAACTCTAGACCTCACCTCCTCTCTTGCCTCTAACACTGTACAAGTCCAGATGCCCTCTACTTTGGACTCATTCCCCCCTGCCCTTTTGCACATCTGCCTAGCTAACCAGGAAATGTCCTTCAGCCTTCTCTTAGATGTCACTTACTCAGACCAGTAATCCTGACCTTTCTGGATGCCTTTCCTGTGGGCTTCCTTAGGCGCCTGGAATTTTGTTTTCACTGGACTTGTCACTTTGTATGATATGTGCCTGTTTATCATGCCCAAATCCAACCTCACAAAAGGGATTATAAATTTCTTGAAGGCAGGACTTGTGCCTTGTAATCTTATCACGAATGAATGAATGAGTGAATGAGTGAATCCTCTCTACTTGCTTCAAAAGAAAAACAATATTACTTCTTTTCTCAATGTAATCCTAAAGTACTGGGTTCTACACATGTTTAGGGATCTAGAAAATGAACTGAGACTCCAGTAAATGCTAAGGACCACCTATCCTGGGCTCAATGATTCTCAGCCCACTTAATAAGGTTTAGAAAACGAGAGATTTCAGTGGGATGGTGGGAGATTTTCAGTCAGGCTTGATAACCTGCCTTTTGGTCAGGGGAAAATATAAACTATTTCACTGAGCGTTGAGTTCCTTCTTGAAGATCAACAGAGTTGGAAGTTCCACAACCTTCCTCAGTGAACTATGTCTGTTTGACATCAAGGTATCTATGTATGTTTCTCTCCATCTCTTCTTAAAAATGAAGATAAAGGGCTTCAGTCTACAGCTAGACCCCAAGTAGTCAAAGCAAAAGTAAAATAAGATGAATGTCCTTCTGTGGTATTTATTCCAGACCACAAACTTGTCTTTTGGCTTCAGTATTATTATCATATCTAACCTCTGTAATATCAGATATTAGTTTATGTTACCTTTCACTCCTTTCTTTTTCAAACTCTCATATAATCTTTCCTTCTTGATCTCCATCTGTAAACTGAATGGATGATTTGATAGAGAGTTTGATAACTATAAAATGCTGTATAACTCAGTTGAAAATGTTGCACTTTTTTGGTGCAATATAATAATACTCCACAATTACCATTGCACTTATATCCTAATGAAATTATGTGTAAAAATACACCTCCCTTCCCACCTTGCTCTCATTAGCCAAGAAGCAAGCAATGGGTAGTTTATTTGTCATTGGTTTCAACACTAGAAAATGTTGATTTTAAGAACAAGCTGCCTGCTGAGATATTAAAAAGGGAGTGGGCTGAATAGCTAACAAAATACAAAATGTTCACTCTCATGGAATAAAGATCAATTTATATAACAGAGCCCTAAAGGGAGGATTGAATTAATAAACTAATATTTCCTTTTTTAAAAAAGATTTATTTATGTTAGAGACAGAGAGAGCATGAGCATGGGGAGGGGCAGAGGAAGAGAGAGAAAGAAGCAGACTCCCTGCTGAGTGCGGAGCCTGAAGTGGGACTCGAACTCAGGATCCTGAGATCATGATCTGAGCTGAAATCAAGACTCAGACACTCAAACAACTGAGCCACACAGGTGTTCCAACTAATATTTCTAAAGTATTTTGGAAATATAAACTTGAACTACACTCTGAACTTTGTTGCAATTAGTTGCTTTTGTATATGTGTGTGTCTATGTCTGTGTGTGTGACAATATATATGTAAAATATATGACAATATTTATGTAAAATATGTTGAGATATATATATATATATATATCCCTCTCTACATAGATGCACACACATATCAAACAACGTGTATAGAATCATCGCTGCTATTGCTTGAAATATATGTTCTGGTAAACAGAATGTGTATTTTTAAATTAACACATATTTTCTTCAAAGATAATAGTTGGACATAATTCAAAATTAGAGTTTATTAGAAATGACTTGGAATGCTTAAGAATAGACAAATATAAGATCTATTACTACCTTCCTGTGAATGTGCTTAGTTCACCACTGAAACTGGAGAGAATTTTAAACTCTCTTCTTGGCATAAACAGACAACATCCTTCACATGCATTTTTTTAAGAAATACATATTTAGGGGTGCCTGGGTGGCTCAGTCAGTTAAGCATCCACCTCTTGATTTCAGCTCAGTTCATGGTCTCGGTGACATGGGATCAAGTCCTGCATCAGGCTCCACACTCAGCTCAGGGTCTGCTTAGGATTTCTCTCTTCCTGTCCTTCTGCCCCTCTCCCAACTCTAAATAAATAAATAAACTCCCATTCACTATAAATAAATAAATAAATAAATAAGTAAAATCTTAAAAAATGTATGTTTACACTTCTCACAACTCAGACTCAGTGAATTTTTATAACTTTATTTATAGTATATTTATTTTTATGGTTGCATGAATAAAGTAATATTTCATAGCAGATCTGTAAGTATAACTTATTTTACTCACTACAAATGATGGAATTATTTAGAAAATATTTTAGGGGCACCTGGGTGGCTCAGTTGTTAAGCATCTGCCTTTGGCTCAGGTCATGATCCCAGGGTCCTGGGATCAAGCCCCACATCGGGCTCCCTGTTCCATGGGAAGCCCGCTTCTCCCTCTCCCACTCCCCCTGCTTGTATTCTCTCTCTCACTGTGTCTCTGTCTGTCAAATAAATAAAAAAAATCTTTAAAAAAAAGAAAATATTTTAGAGAAAAAATTGATCCTAATCTTAATAGTGATGGAAAAGTGGGTAACTTCTTTAAAACCACTGAGTTGCAACCAAGTGGTAGTATTTACCAGTATCCAAATCTTTAGAATCCTAGTTCAGTGATCTTTCTTCTATACAGTCTCCCTCCCTACCTTTTGGAGGTATAGAATTAATAAAATTTTAACTAATGGGTAGAAAATTAAACAGAAGTCCAAAGAGGCAGTACTTTTCATAATTCATGAGATATAACTTAGAAATGTTGTTATTAAAGAAGAAAACCAGGCCAAAAGAAGAATGGCAAAGAATTGCAACTAAAGTTTCAACATGAAGTAAATAATTGCAGGGAAAAAAAGCTTGTTAAATATCTATACAACAATAACTCAGTCAGTTATCCAAAGTCACTTATAAATAATTGAAATAATTGACCGCCTTCCCTTGCCTTCATCTTCCAATTCCATACCAGAATTTTCATCTTATTAGTTGGCTTTACTCAAGAAAATAATTTTGTTACCAAATCCAAAGCACTAAGAAAAAAAATCCTGAAAAAAATTTTATATTTTTATCTTAGATCTAAATATTTCATGCTGCTCTTTCAGAAAATGGATTTTCATCTGTGGTAGGTTGCATACACAGTTAGCATGCAATCGAGGAGCGGTGGCAGAACATAAGATTGCAATTAATGATATAAAAAAATCACAGATTTGTTCCATGTATGTTAAGATTCCTATAATTGCTGTGTTTAACAATATAAAATATATTACTTTTGAGAACAATGGGGAAAGGGTTTGTAAAGCAGCAAGTGAATTCTGAACTGGAAATCCAAGAACCATAATGGTCCAATTGATCATTCCCTAACATTCTCATTGGAAATATAGACACCAACAAACAAAACAAACGAAGTCATAACATAAGAAAAACATAAATTTTATTTCTAAGGCAGGTTTAAAACTCTGGTAACGAAAATTACTTAAAAAGATGATGTTGAAATCTAGGGCCCTTCAACACATTGGTGTCTTAGCAGTGGGACTGGAATAAAATTTACCAATTTTACTATTTTCTTCAACAAAATTATCTTAAACCTTGGTACTTTATACCTTCTGTCATCTAAAAAAAGTTAACAAGGAGGCACCTGGGTGGCTCAGTTGGTTAAGTGTCTGACTCTTGGTTTCGGCTCAGGTCCTGATCTCATGAGTCATGAGATGGAAACTCAAGTTGCGCTCTGCACTCAGTGGGAGTCTGCTTGGATATTCTCTCCTTCTGCCCCTTCCCCTGCTTGCTCTCTATTTCTCTCTCTCAAAAATAAATAAATAAATCTTTAAAAGAATAAAAATAAATTTAAAAAGCTAGCAGAGGTCAAAGTTAATGCAAAATGGAAAATGGGTGATTGTGCTTATCTCAAGGATTTGAGTAAATATAATGCATATAGCTAGTAAAAATTATTGCAAGTTCTTATAGTAGTATTAAATTTAGTATATTTCATGGAATTCTGAAGTCATGTCATGAATTTTGGGTGTCGCACATAAACAAGTTACCAAAGCATCAATTTCATAAAGAAAGAATATTTTTAAACATATGTGTATTTATATGCATAAGTATATATATGTATATACATATGCAAATTATAGAGATTTTAAGATTTTAATATGAAAACTTACATTAACTGTTATCATCCAATATATTTCACATGACACAGGAAAATACCTGCTGTCACTGATCATTCAATATATCCTTGCACAGAAAATGGAATCCATTTGAGTACCTTGACAACAGCATTCTCTTGTCCGCTTTCTTCAGGAGCCACCATCAGCGTGATCATTAACGTCAACGTGCAAGCTTCGGTCATCGTCTCTGCACTGATCGCCACTCTTTACACGCTGGTGGGTGGTCTCTATTCTGTGGCCTACACCGATGTAGTTCAGCTTTTCTGCATCTTCATAGGCCTGGTAAGTGGAGCCATTCACAGACTTTCTTTGTTCTTTTACTTTCCTCTCCTTCTTTCTAAAATGTAATGTGGTATTTTATATGAACTCAGCAAAAATTAATAGAAATGTTATTTTCCATCATGAGTAATACATAGTAAGTCATGTACCATTTGAAATTTTAGATTTCTCAGTGAATTAATTGGACAAAAAAATGTAATCATTTTGTTAGATTTTGACAGAAAATATGCCCTCAGTTTAATTCTTAGAAAGGTCTAGGGCTTCCTTTCCTTCATACCTATGTTTGATGGAAACTTATGTGTGCTCTTCCTTGAGTTTGAAGGCAACACACTTTACTCAGAGTTAAAATGTAACTGAGCAGGGAGCCTGAGGTGGGGCTCGATTCAAGGACCCAAGGATTATGACTTGAGCCAAAGACAGATGCTTAACCTACTGAGCCACCCAGGTACCCGCTGCACTGGTCTCTTAACCTTCCCCTGGAATTATTTTAAGTGATCCATAAGACTTCTCATAAGACAGAAATTATCACATTTGAAAAACTGTGGGTTTCAATATTAATCATCACTATTCGGTGCCTAAAAACAAAGAAAAGGTTTAATTATATAAGATACTAGAGATATTTATTATATATTGCTTATAAATCCTAAACTAAATTAGGTAATATATGTGTGTTTTATTCAGTAAAAGGTACTGTATAATTATGAGACATATTATTTGTATTACATTAAAAGTGCTTTTGTGTATTATGAACACATTTTAGTCAACATTGAGCCTTTGCAAACTCAACATCTTAAAATGTGAAGACTGTATTATTATACATATAATAATATCCAACACCTAAGACATATCCAAGAAAATGGTGTGAGTACTCCATGCTGGGCACTGTAGTGGATTCATACACATGTATGTTATCTCAGCTGTGTAGCCTATAGGACCAGTGCCCTTGGAGAAGGGCCACAGAGAGAAGCAGCTAAGGCTGCACATCATGACTCCCTTCCCATGGATAATTAAAGCACCCTTGAGCCTCCTCTTTTTTCCTTCTTTTTCTCAGAATGAAACGCTCTTCACTCTATTTTAATGCTTACACTAGACATTTAGGAATGAAAAATGAAGTCGAAGCTCATACTCATTTTTCTTTTGTTTTTTATTTTCTAGTATCTGTAATAATGGGAGGAGCATTTTAAAAGAACTGACTACAACTAAAATTACAGTTTAGCCATAAATTTACATATGCTAGCAATGATCACATTTCCCCTTTTTCCCTTAGCATCTATGTGCATTTCATGGAATCTCATTCACTAGTATCTTAGTTGAATTCGAGTCATTTTAATTTGCTTAATTACTCCTACTTTCTTATTTTTAAATTGTCAAAAGCAAGTGGGCAGTGCTGAAATTCAGAATTCTGCTTAGTATCACCATAAACTTCCAGAAATAAATCTCTGTTCAGAACTTGGAGGCAAGTTTGGTTTGGCAATGACAGATCTCTTAGCTGATGCACTTGGTATACCAAGAAAGACAATGCTAAGGGATGAAGTTATTTATTGATGATATATGTAATTTCTCATTGCTTTTCATGAGATCAGAACTTAAAATACACAGGAGCATAAATCAAGCATGCAAGTATAAAGATGATAGGACAAATATATGTGGGGATAGATGTTAGAGTGGTTTTCTGCTACAAAATGTAACTAAACTAATGAGGAATCGAGTTGTCTTGGTTACTAGTTAAGAGCCTATTGACTTGACTGAGTAAAAGGCCAAGCTTGGTTTGTTTTCCAAGCTTCAAATGGCTATACATGCATACATAATTAATGAATCAATTCACACCTTAAATGATCTCCTCTCAAATTCTCCAATTCTGTTGATTTTATCACCATCCTTGGAGCTCCACAACTGTAAATTTGAGGTTCATCTGTTCATTTTCTTTCTCTAACCTCTTCCTACTGTTAATCTAAGGGCTGCTCAGTCTCCCTTCAGAACCCTTTTCGGTACCAATGTCTTTCCATTTCTAGTATCATGGCTCTATTTAAGGCCTTTATCTGGGTCATATCAGTGCACCTACTGCTTTTCCTAACTCCTCCTTCTCCTAAGCTCACTATTCACATCTATAATATTAAAATGCAGAAGAAATCTACTAAAATCTTTTTACAACTCAGAAGAAATGCCTCTAGCTTCCAGTTGCCCACAAAACAAAATATAAACCCCTCAGCTTGCAATTCAAATTTCTTGCCATATATTTATGTTTATCTCTCCCATTTCCCTAAGCCACTCCCATGCCAGCACACCTTGTCATGCAAAAGATCTGTGTGCACACCCTGTATGTTTTTCTCCTGTTTGCCTTGTTCCACCTAGAAGGCCTCCCTATTCTCTTCCTTCTTTTATTAGCACTGGGCTTGCCCTTGAAGTTTTGTCTCACCCACCAAGTTCTCAGTCAGATCTTTCCTCGTCAGTTTAATAAATGGACATCTTTCTCTAATTCAAGGAAAACATTAAAAGTTTATATATCGATATAATGTTCTCAAATTCAATGTTTTCTTCCCAAAGTATGGCTGACTGCCCCTATAATTGATATGACATGGTATAATTAAGCACAGGCATGGATAATGTGTTCTTCTAACTTTTGTAAATCAGTATTTCATGGCGTCCCACAGAGAACATGATTCCAGGTTCTTCTCTGTCTGAACAAGAAGAACAACCGACTATGTGGTCTATGAGAAAGTAAACACATGGCTAAAACTTGTGTATATGAGACAGGCAAAAGCCATAGCTTAACTCTGTCATGTCCCTCTCTGGTTGCAGTGGATCAGCGTCCCTTTCGCCCTGTCGCATTCTGCAGTTACTGACATTGGGTACACTGCTCTGCATGCCAGATACCAAAAGCCTTGGCTGGGGACCATTGAATCATTTGAAGTCTATACTTGGCTTGATAGTTTTCTGCTGTTGGTAAGTAATGCCCTTACCTGGGAAAGGCAATCTCATTTTTCCTAAAATCAAGTGCATTTTTCAGATTTAAGGTTTATATGTAAATATCACCTACTGGCTCGTGTCTGTTTCTGCACTGACTACTTCCTGTTGGAAGGATGGAGCCACTTACTATGGTAGCTGACTAGTGTCAAAGTGGAGAGAGAGTGAAGCCTTAAAGGGAGAATGTCTACAGGGTGATGTATGGTGTATCCACATTTCTATTGTGCTGTAAGTAAGGAATACCATGTCCTACCCCCAGGGACTTCCCCAGTCTGAGGCCAAGCCATCTAAAAGTTTTAATTTGTACTTTGGATTAAGGCATTAAAACCAGGTTCTTCTGAAATAAGTAACCCATTCAGTTTCTAATTACTGAGTAAGTAAATTATTGCCAAAGGCCCTTTAGTGCAGACAGAAGTTGGGAAAGGAGGTGTCATTCAGGAAAGATGCCAAGAAAAAAGAGCTGGGAAGACAGAGACAGCTTAGGAACTTGCAGACATCGGGGTGAAGGTGTCGGTAGTGAGACGTGGGGCACAGAAGAAATAAAGGTTTTCTTTTGGAAAACCAAAAGAACCTGCCAGATTTTGTGATTTTGCTAACTGGAGGGGTTACTTACAAAAGTAAAACACTGTATTTAATTTCAAAATAAAAAATAGATTAACGTTTATATAAAAATTAAGGGGAAATCATTTTTGTTTCCTTTTTTGAGGGTTCACAATATTTTATGATTTCACTTTGTATTTGTGGCACTTTACTAAATTTCAGCACTAAAAGTAGATGTGTCTGTCCCAGTAGAGAAATTCCTGGTAAGAAGGCAGGAAAACATGCAAACAAGTTGTTTCCAGGGGTGGAGGGGAAGGCTTCTTTCCCAAGGATTGTTAAGAAATGTATTGGCTGACATTTTTCTAGAATGGCTTATAATTATGAATTGAATGGAGAAAGGGGTTAAATATTATAAGTATGTGAAATTATATCTGCATGGCAGTTATGTTTATGATTATAAGGAGGAGATTATGGCACTCAGAGAAGATAGGCAGTCTGTTGATAATCACACCATTGTGTGAATGAGGGATTGAAATAAAGCATCAAGACCCTAAAATCATTTCTCCTACACTACACTTTAGTCCTCAGATTTATTAATCTTCAAGATAAGGCATTATATCCAATGACTGCTAAAGTTTCTTCCATCCCCCCAAAATTATATGACTAAGTCATATTCATTCTTCAAAATGTAGCATAAGTGGTAGTGAAATGATAGATGTTGAATGAACGAATGAGTGAAATGTAGAAGTATGCCTCGAAATGTTTCACCAGGGGTCTCTGATCTTCCAACTGTCTCTCTCAACTTCTACTTGTCATAAGTGACTTGTGGAGTCCTGCTCTGGATACCTTCCACCTTCCACGGATCTCCCAGCCCCACCCTGAACCTGCTCGCTGACAGCATTCCTCAGCTGGCCTATTGTGGTGGCCCTTCACAGTCCCCATGTGGCAGCCCACCCGCATCTCACTTGTCCAAACCCTTCTTCCACCTTGCCATCAGGCCTTCTGTTTGTCTGCGGAGGTCAGATTTTACCTTACTTACAAAGCTCTGATGACTTAAATGTCCAGAGAGATTGGCATGTAAATTATGGTGTATCAATTCATACAGGCATTGAATATTAATGAATATTCATTAACATAGAAAATGTTAATGATATTCTGACAGTCCTGACTTATAATGTTTCGACTTAACAGGTTTTCAACTTTGCAGTGGGGAGAAGGCAATAGCAGTCAGTAGAAACCCTAGTTTGAATTTTGGTCTTTTCCCAGGTTAGCAATAGATGGTATGATCCTCTCTCATTGTGGTGGGCAGCGGCAGCAAGCCACAGCTCTTAGTCAGCCATGAGGGTGAACAACGGATACACTGAAAAACATTCTGTACCCATACACCATGCTGCTTCTCATTTTCAGTATAGTGTTCAATAAATTATATAAGATATTCAACACTTCATTATAAAGTAGGCTTTATGTCAGATGACTTGCCCAACTATAGGCTAATGTCAGTGTTCTGACCATGTTTAAAGTAAGCTAGATTGAGCTATGATGTTCACTAGGTTAGGTGTATTAAATGCATTTTTGATTTTGACTTCAGATATTTTCAACTCATGATGGGTTTATTGGTATGTAACCTCATCGTAAGTCAAGGAAGATCTGTATTGATTAACAGGTTGCAAACCAAAGGAAAAGTTTTGGAAGAATACAGACTTGACACATGGATTATGAATTTTAGAATTTCTTCTTTTACTTTTTTTTTACTTTTGAACATGTATAGCTTTTATACAGAAGAGATTATCCTGGAATCAATATGTAAAAAGCACGCTGATTAACACAGAGGTGAGAGTGATAAACAAGACATCCCAGAATTTAGAGCTCAGTGAGAGACAGGAAATTAAAGAAATAACTTCAGTACATTGTAATATGGAAGATTCATTCACCAGTTCACTCATTCATATGATAAATATTTATTGAACACCGACTGTATGCAAGTCAGAGAACCATGGCAGTAATCATGGGTGGAAGGTATTCCCCAGACTCCTCTTTAGCCACTCCCACACACCCTAACCTTTAATTAAGCCAAAGACACAGTGGTCTCAGAGCTGTTTCATTGCTCTTTTTTCTTTCTTCCTTTTTCACACTGAATTCTCTGCCAGGGGCTCTCTTCTCTTTCCATCTCTATATAGTGACACCCTCTCAATGCTTTGGGACTGACTCCATGCAATTCTGTAGGTTTTCCTGATTACCATGCAGTTATCCTTTGTCCCACTTTCCCTCCTCCCTCTGTTACTCCTGAATAATTAATTTTCTCATTTTTCTTCCCATACATACCTCCTTATAGCAGGCTGCAAATTACATTATAGTTCGCTGTCTCCAAAATGCTTATGAATACATATCCTCAATAAGAATTTTAAGCACACTCCCAATGTAGATATATGTAGTTATGAATTACTTATACATAGTGTACTAATACATTACATAATCGTTTAATAAAAAGAATGTAACATATAAGTATGAGGTAAAAAAGAGTATAAATAGAAATTCTAATGTTTTATTTGATGCTATTGTCTATATTGTCTTGAGCACTCTGCACACTCCACTTTGGAAAACAGTGTGTTGCACTGACTCTCCGATATGAACAGGTTGCTCCAGAGCAAGAAACCATTCCCCTCACTACCATCCTATTACCTGGTTCAGAAATATTTATTGGGTTTTATTGATTCAAATTAAAATTCCTCCTTTCAGAATCTTAATTTTTTGAGACAATTTTGTGATGGTTAAAACCTCCAGATGAAAACAGATTGAAGGCTTCTGGATAGTTGTAATGCAGTTTGAAGTAGGTAAATTAAAAAATAGAAATGTTGGGCTACGTAATGATGAAGAAAAAAAACTTGAGGAAATTCTGCACAGTTGAAGATGTGACAATGACATGATTGCAGTTGAGATGTTTGTCATGTAGGACTCTTTATGGCACATCAGAACTATCCATATGACTATTGTGAATGTGACAGTAAAAAAAAAAATCTTATTTAAAAATACCTAATAGATGTTGTTTGCCTCCAATTCATTCTGAGTCCCTGTTGTTCCCATGCAGATGCTGGGTGGAATCCCATGGCAAGCCTACTTCCAGCGGGTCCTCTCTTCATCCTCAGCCACCTATGCTCAAGTGTTGTCTTTCTTGGCAGCTTTTGGGTGCCTGGTGATGGCTCTACCAGCCATACTCATTGGGGCCATTGGAGCATCAACAGGTATATCTCTTGCCGCTTCACTGAGGCTTCACTGAAGTGACTAATTACCACCCACTGCCCTCCCTCCCCCACTTGCCCTCTTACCCCCACTTAGTTAATTATTTCTCATCGTATTCATATAGACTTTTATTATAGCATTCAAACAATTGTATTATAGCCCAGTGCTTCCAAACAGTTTTTGACTGCTCTCACCACTAATAAAATATATGTGAGCATACCCCCCATGGTGATATACTTAAGAATTGTGTATATGTAATCCTGTCAGCAGTGATTCTCAGTCAAGGTGCACATTGACATCGTCTGGGGAGGAGAAGAGATGCTTTAAAGAAAACCTATTTCTATCCTACCCTACAGGGATTTTATTTTAATGATCTAAGATGGATCCAGAGACCAGTGTTTTTTAAAGCCCCTTGGTTGGTCAAAGTTGGCCTGAGTTGAAAGCGACTGGCTTAGAAATTTAACTGACACCTAAGGATCACTTTGAACTGGAGATTCCTGCTTTACATTTTTAATAGTTTGTTAATTAAAAATTTTCTTTCTTGGAGAAATAAATCAATAAATGTGCAGGTAAAGGTAAACTTAAGGTACTGAGACTTAGAGAATAACTTACTCAAAATTGGTAAAAAGAGCATAATGAGATGTTTGTCTCCTAGTTAGCCTCTATCTAAGACATTTTTAAAATCTCACCCTTAATTTAATTGAAATTGTTAATTTTTCCTGAAATTTACATATCTATGCTATATAGCTTCCAAGAGCATTCATGAAAATACATCACACTAACCCAAATTCAAAGAATTCCTATAGATAGAAATCATTAAAACAGACTAAAGAAGTTTACCTTTCACTCCACTGTGTTTTGTAAAGATGGTACAGGTGATACACCCATAGCTATTTTGATTTTCAATTAGTAGAGCTACTTTTTGGATTATGTAACTTTTACAAGAGCAGCCATGGTTCATATTCATATTCACATTCTCCATTCCAGTTGTTCATCCATAGCATAAACAAGCACTTAAAAAGATGACTGACAAAGGTGATTGTGTGCCTTTGAATAAAAGATAGCATTTCTGTCACAATCAAAAAACAGATCTGGCTGTGTACTCATGCTTGTGCATGTGTGTGGGTGTTCATGTGTGTGTGTTTGTGTGTGTGTGTGTGTGTGTGTGTGCGTGTGTGTTGTAGGACAGCAGACTGAAAAAGCCAGTGTAAATTCTATTTTTTTCTCGGATTAGGTACACATTCTTGGTTGTTATTTCTGGTACCATAACATCTCAATGAATGCTATAAAATTGGCTTCAACAAAGCATATCTTTGAACAACTGTAGCGGAAAATGGGGGAAGAAAAAAGTGATAGGATCCAAGGGAAACCATTCCTATTTGGTCCTGGAATTATGCCATAGAAGTTCAGCAAATAAAAAAGGAGCTATACTAATGTACATTTAAAGATTCCATTGTATTCTTCAGTACATGATAGTATAACTAAACAGTAAAGAACTATATATTCATAGATAAACTTATTTTTTCATTTGTTTTCACCATGATTTTCTCCATCTTGCATGGTGCACAAGGTATTTTTGTACCTTTTACAATAAAGCCTTATTAGACATTTTCTAAATAATAAGAAAAAAAATAGATTAGTACAATGCAGAATTTCATCTGTAAAAAAATCAATTCAAAGATATAATTTCTTCTATTAATTCTAGAGTTCAGCAGACCAACTCATCATAAAATCTAAATCATCTTATAGCCTATTTTACTAGTGGCTTATCTCAGATTCTGTTGAAGAAGAATAATATTAATGTTGGTGAGTCTTAGACCACTAATGGACAGGTTTGTATAAATCAAAACATACAGATTTTTGGCTGCATTTAAAAAACTAATGGAAAATTTTGGAAAATAATGCTGACAGTGTTTAATTGATCATGCAATTCCTTCAATTATGATAAAAAGACAAACTTTCTGAAATAAAAAAATACAGTGTCTTATTTTCTTCATAGTATCAATATCAGATATAATTTCTAAGTTTCAAATTTTAAAACTTCAAAGCACATTTGCCTATTTTTTTCAAAAAACCATTTATATATTTGAAGAAACTGCATGTTGCTTACTTGGCTTTGTGGTTTTAAAAAACATTTTCAGACATTTACATATATTACTTATTGTATGAAAATGTGTGGTTGTATAATTTATGAATGTAGTTTTTCTAAATCAGCTTCACGGTGTTATTTTGTGAGATAAAAAAATTGGTAATACTCTGTAATGAAATTTTACTCCAAAGGTTAATCTATTGCACTAACTATAATTTGGTGAATTCCCAGATTTGTCTGAATATTATCATCATTCAGACTTATGCAATCAGAATCTTTCAGTATACTCTGCATTGTAAAGGCATGCCTGAGAGATCCCAGTGTTCATTAAGGTCTGCGAACCACTGAATTAATCCAATGATGATTCTTCTTTTTACTTTTTGCTTTAACAAAATCAAGCACTTGCCATTCTCTGCCCATTTCTTCCTTATCTTCACAACTGTCAAACTGGTTCATTGCTTTTAACAGCCTGGCCCACACACTTAGCCAGAGATGTGCTGCAGACAGTTGCCTGTGGATCTCTGGTGCCCGTGCCCTCCTGCTTCCTTGAGACTCTTTTTATCTTTTATGTTTTGAGTCCTTTTAACAACGTCCAAAATCCTCCTGAAGTGCAGGCTCATACCTGCACTTTCTATTCGATAAAGCAAGGACTTTCCTTTACGTATCATGCTTCCTGTTTCCAGGAGGTAGAATCCAATCCAAGAAGGAATTTAGTTGGGAGAAAAATAATGTTTGGAGCTCCAAAACCAAGTTTATATACAGGAAGAGGATGGGTGAGAATAGCTCCACTATTGTCTATACATTAATGCATGTATGACTGAGGACTAAGGACTGAAACAGTGTCCTCTCACATCTCCAACTGGTTGAAGACATACTCTTTTCTATGATTCTGTACAATTTGATGTCATAATTACAGAATAGAAATAGGTAATAGATAGATAAGTAAGTAGATAGATGATTGATGATTGATAGGCAGATAGATGATAGAAGATAGATAGATAGATAATAGGTCTTATGAATAAGGCTAAGTGTAACCAAAACCCATTAGAAGCCAGAATTGTATATAAGACAATGGACTTCCCACCTACTCAGACCAACATACCTAGTTAGATTTCTAGACCGAATTATAGACTTCTCCCTTAATTAGACTTATTCATACATTCTGAATTTATTTCAAAAGCTCCTAGTAAATAGGATGAGCCCCAGATGAATAAAGAACATATGGTTCTTTGGTTGTGTTTATATGTGTCTTTTCTATTCAACAGACTGGAACCAGACTTCATATGGGCCTCTAGGTCCCAAGGACAAAAACGAAGCAGACATGATCTTACCCATTGTTCTGAAGTACCTCTGTCCTGTGTACATTTCTTTCTTTGGTCTTGGTGCAGTTTCTGCTGCTGTTATGTCATCAGCAGATTCTTCGATCTTGTCAGCAAGTTCCATGTTTGCCCGGAACATCTACCAGCTTTCATTCAGACAAAATGTAAGAGTGGTTTTTCCAAACGTAATGTTGTTGTTGTTGTTGTTGTCATTGTACTTACTGTGTCTGTAGTATTACATCTTTATTAATATCCTATATTAAAATTGGACTCTAGTTTGATTAAGCACACAGGGTTAAATAATGCTGAATTTTGTTTAAGCAGTACATAAACATTTTTAATGCATGTTATCATTTATGTTGGTATGGAAGGGACCAAATCAACACTAGCATTTTTCGAGAGGTACAGTCATATTGCTATAATTTACATTTCTTGTCTTTCTAATGAAAGAGTCATGAAACCTAAAACATCGAAAAACTTTGAGTTTAATCAAATATGGTAAGAAACTTGAAGCAGAGCATAGTGAGTAAGTTATTTCCTGGGCATTTGTGTAGCATCTGTCCCACTCTTCACGTGAACTCCCAAGTCTATATTGGTAAGAAAATTGCTTTTCAGTGTGATTGACCTTATTGAATCAAGTAGGTGCAGAACGGCACCTGTGTCGTTGTGTCACTGAGGAGCCAATAGCCCCTATTCACCTTCTTCCTTCACTAAGGTTTTGTCTTTCTCTAGTTTTTCTAGGTCATAGTGAACAAAATGGTCCCACTTGTTTTTAAGGTGGATAGACTTAAAGATGGTAAGACTCCCAGGAGAAAGCAAGCAAGGGTGGACCATATCTCCTCACAGCCACATAGGAATTATTCCTTAATTGTCCTTAATTCCTTATGAAAATTATGTGAAATCCTTTCTTGCATTATTTTTCCCCTATGAAAGCATGTTAGTTCATCTCACCTCTCCTGTGCACGTTCAGGGAAAGGTGTAGCTGCCTGTGCTCCTGCACATGGCACACAGAAACCCCCCCCCAAAGGCCCACCAGGGTGGCCACCTAGATGGCTTGCTCCCTACGATGTGGTTTAGGCAATTTTGGCCACATTGAACTATATGAACCAGGGGAATTTTTTACACCAGCTTTAAAGCACAGAGATACATCTCATTCTTCACCTAAATGATCCAGTGCACTATGTGAAAAGCTGTTACTGTCACAATTTCTTGCAGGCATCAGACAAGGAAATCATCTGGGTCATGCGAATCACTGTATTTGTGTTTGGAGCTTCTGCTACAGCCATGGCCTTACTAACGAAGACCGTGTATGGGCTCTGGTACCTCAGCTCAGACCTCGTTTACATCATCATCTTCCCCCAGCTGCTTTGTGTGCTCTTCGTCAAGGGAACCAACACATATGGGGCTGTGACAGGTTATGTGTCTGGCCTTTTCCTGAGAATAACCGGCGGGGAGCCATATCTGTACCTACAGCCCTTGATCTTTTACCCTGGTTATTACTCTGATAAGAATGGCATATATAATCAGAGATTCCCATTTAAAACCCTTGCCATGGTTACCTCGTTCTTATCCAACATTTGCATCTCCTATCTAGCCAAATACCTATTTGAAAGTGGAATCTTGCCGCCCAAATTAGATGTGTTTGATGCTGTTGTCGCAAGGCACAGTGAAGAAAACATGGATAAGACAATTCTGGTCAAAAATGAAAACATTAAGTTGGATGAACTTGCACCTGTGAAGCCCCGACAGAGCATAACTCTCAGCACCACTTTCACCAATAAGGAGGCCTTCGTTGACATTGACTCTAGCCCAGAAGGCTCTGGGATTGAAGATAACTCATAATGACCCCATCCAAATAAAATACTGCTTTCACAAACAGAGCACTACAGCAGGCTAGTCTGGGTTGCAGCATATAAAAAATATACTTTAAAAACAAACAGCATTCAGGAAGACAAAAATCCATATAAAAGTGCAATTGCAAAAATGCAAGCCAAGCTAGAAGGAAGCATCTGTGAAAGCAACAGCTTGCTTTCTCATCGATATTTCTCATCCTCATTTGATCCTGACTCTAGTTAGTTTTGTTAAGTATTCAAAATTGAATTAAGACCTGCTCAAAGAACAGAGGGCCAAACAGAGTATTTATTCTGAAAAAAAAGAAGTAGATACAAAACGAAAGAGCCAAGGAAATTAGGTGGACTTGATCCAGACCTTGTCTGCTAATGCACTAGTGGGTCTAGTTTACTGTCACAGTGAGGTCACGAGAGGAACTTGCCATCACTCCAATGAATGGTGCAACAAACTAACCACTGATTGTCCTGATGTGATGATTAATCCCTTCTTTCATGTTCTTAACTAGAACATTTGCTGAATATGCAATTCGTTTCTCTTTTTGTAGTGGCACGTATTATTCTGAGCACAGACAAAGCAAACACACACAAAATATCATGTTGTGTCATTTCTTTAGGTACAAGGTAATAGGAAAGTAGAATCCATCTTTGTAGAGGAGCACTGCTTCCTTTGAGTGTGTCTAATAGCTACCATATGCATTGAGACTCATACCTGGACGATGGAAGTCATGATTATTAGGCAACCTTAAAGCAATAAATCAAGAAGGCCATTAAGCAGAAAGTGACAGGAAGAAGAGTGGGTTTTCACTTTCATCTGAAGTTTATATAGTTTTGCTTCATGATAAAAGAAGTAATGTCTTGGCTTCCCATCTAAATTGGTATTGGAAGTGAAATTGAGCCATATATAAGGTGAGGTAGCAGCGTAGCACCAATTAAGGTTAATGAGAGATGAACAGCACCTCTTGATAAAACTAGAAAAACAAAACCCTCTCAGTTTTGAACATTCATTCATTCATGAGAATGATTTAGTGTCAAGAGAGTGATTCTGTGGCACTTTTTGCAAAAGCCAGTCTTAGGTACTAGACAAATCACCACTATAGAGAATTTTAAAATGCAGAAGAAATCAGAAAATAAAAATAAGTCCTAAAGGGAAAAAGCCATCAATTTTAGCATTTGGTGTCCACATAACTTTCATGAGGTTGGTCATTAAATATTATTTTACTCCTTTTCTGGAGTTAAAAAATACATATGTGTATATAAATATGCAATGGTTTGTATCCATTTTAGAATTTTAAATGCTTTCCCAGTAGTCACATTATAGAAATAACCATAGCTGTGTCTACAAAAACAGAGTGAATTGATGAGCTAAAAAATTATCTGAGCATTTGATCCAATAAGGAAAGGCAACATGACTTATTTAAACTAAAGCACATTGTCCAAAAACATTTGTTTTGCAATTCATAGACAAAATGAAGTTAATTCAGTGTTCAACATTAAGTATAAAAGTTGTGTTCAGGAAGCTAGAATTCCTCTTTTAAGAATTTTTAATTATCTAAAAGCATCAAATAATGCATCTGTTTATTATCAAACATGAATTAAATTCACAGGGTAATTTCTTAAATATGAATTAAATAATTTTACATGTTGTGATGTCCCATATTTTAATGCTTTATCAAAACTTGATGGAGAATATGATGTTGCATTCAAAATCTTTATAGAACATCATCTATACTTAAATGAAAAGAGAATTCTTTTCACTCATCTATTTGCTCAGAATCTTCTTTATGCCTAGTACCCAGTGGAGTACTTGGAAGGAGCACATTTTTGGAACCAGTGCTGTGGGAATCCCAAGATTCTCAGACATGGATGGAAAGAAGAACCCAGGGCAGGAAGCTCACGAAGGACAAAGTACAATGATGGAAACATTTGGCATGGAAAAGTGAATTGTTGGGGACAGCAGTTCCTGGTACATCTGCTCCTTTGGATGTTCCATGCTCTCCAGCACACTACCTGAATAATTGTTTTTATGCACCCCATCACCCTGAATTTTTGTTTCAACCTATTTAGGCACCAGCGTCCATAGACGATATCGCCCATGTTGTAATAGAATATAACAGAGATTTAGTCTCTTTGAAGATGTTATAGTTTACTATTTTACTGGACAACAGTTGTCCAAATATGTTCAGATATGTTCAATAACCATATTTAAATCCAGTGAAATAGAATAAATATTAACAGTGAAAATTTCTTCCATTCCATTCATTTTGTAATAATAGAAAGATAAAAGGGGGGAGGGTTTACTTTGTCCAAAATATTAAAAACTATGTGTTAGGATAAAATACATATTTTATTTTCATACTTCTACAATAATTGTAACATGATAACATGGTTTCTTGGGTAATTTTAATGTGTTTTTTCCCCCACACATATTTTCCAAAACATTAAGCTTGTAGCTGGACTGAAAAGTCAACAAGCTTTCAAACACTCAGTGTAAAATTCAACTTTGTTGCTACTGTTAAAAGTAATGAATTTTATGTGAATGTCAAATGAATGTAAGCTTGAAATAAGTGAATCTAATGTAATGGCTATTAGCTTATTTATTTGGAAATAATGAATAGGCATTGTATTTTAAACATAAAGTGTGACTTTTTCTTTTTAGTCTTTGAGAAAATTTACTCCAGCATAATGTATAATTTATTGTAAGTTTGCTACTGAACAGACAGATACATATAATGGTTCTAAACATCTATTTTTATCTGTCAAAATATTATATAAACTATGCTTAAAATAAGTAGATTTGCAACTGTACATGTAAATGTTTTCAATGTAATGGTATTGTATTAAATTGTGCTGGTGCAATTCAGGAGATCATTGTCTAGGTTTGGCTTTTTGGGGCCCTCCCTTAAAACAAATATAAGTGGTACTTGGAGACAACTATGCAATGGAATTGAAATAAACCATCTCACTGCTGCAACATATAAAAACATAAAATGGAAATGTTGCACCTTGCATAAATCTTAGGGCAATATATGATATCATATCTCAAAAAATATGAATTATTGTTCCTGGAAAAGAAGTTCTGCCACTGCACACAGGCCTTTCTTTGAGTCAAACAAATCAGTAGACAGAATATCTATTCCATTCATATCAAGATAGCTGCATCTTAAAAACCAAATAGGTGTCTGATAATTATTGATCTAGGATACACAACCACTCACTAAGTGAAGAACTGTCTGCATGATGCTCTAAGTATATACTTTACATCTCTTACTAACTCTCTTGAAAAGTGTAATTATATATATATCCTCAGAAGAACTTTGGCCTCTTACACTTTAATCATAAGCATTTGTGCCTTTGGATATATAGAGAGGAGGGGCCTAGAATGAGCTTAAGGATAAATGAAGGAAAGAATAAGTAGTTACAGGAAGAAATATACCAGTTTGTCTGCCATTATGGACACATTTCTGAAGAGCCTGTATTTTGCTTTATCAGAAATCTATACTACAGGGGAAATTATTAGGAGCTAGAAAAGACAATGTGTATTGGAGCCTATGTATGCTTTCTTCATTTTAACCCTAGTATTAAGAGAGTTTAATTTGATCATTAGCATTCTCCTCTCAGGCACATATTCTGAGAGAGGTCCAAAGAGTTACAAGATCATGATAAATGATAACTTCTTTATATTTTTTTATTTTAATTTTTTTATTGTTATGTTAATCACCATATATTACATCATTAGTTTTTGATGCAGTGTTCCATGATTCATTGTTTGTTCATAACACCCAGTGCTCCATGCAGAACGTGCCCTCCTAAATACCCATCACCAGGCTAACCCATCCCCCTACCCCCTCCCCTCTAGAACCCTCAGTTTGTTTTTCAGAGCCCATCATCTCTCATGGTTCACCTCCCCCTCTGACTTACTCCCCTTCATTCTTCCTCTCCTGTTATCTTCTTCTTTTTCTTTTTTCTTAAAATATGTTGCGTTATTTGTTTCAAAAGTACACATCTGTGATTCAACAGTCTTGCACAATTCACAGCGCTCACCGTAGCACATACCCTCCCCAATGTCTATCACTCAGCCACCCCATCCCTCCCACCCCCGACCACTCCAGTAACACTCAGTGTGTTTCCTGAGATTAAGAATTCCTCATATCAGTGAGGTCATATGATACATGTCTTTCTCTGATTGACTTATTTCACTAAGCATAACACCCTCCAGTTCCATCCACGTCATTGCAAATGGCAAGATCTCATTCCTTTTGATGGCTGCATAATATTCCATTGTGTATATATACCACTTCTTCTTTATCCATTCATCTGTGGATGGACATCTTGGCTCTTTCCACAGTTTGGCTATTGTGGACATTGCTGCTATAAACATTGGGGTGCACATACCCTTTCGGGTCCCTACATTTGTATCTTTGGGGTAAATACCCAGTAGTGCAATTGCTGGATCGAATGGTAGCTCTAATTTCAACTGTTGAGGAACCTCCATACTGTTTTCCAGAGTGGTTGCACCAGCTTGCATTCCCACCAACAGTGTAGGAGGGTTCCCCTTTCTCCACATCCCCGCCAACATCTGTCGTTCCCTGACTTGTTAATTTTAGCCATTCTGTCTGGTGTGAGGTGGTATCTCATTGAGGTTTTGATTTGGATTTCCCTGATGCCGAGCGATGTTGAGCACTTTTTCATGTGCCTATTGGCCATTTGGATGTCTTCTTTGGAAAAATGTCTGTTCATGTTTTCTGCCCATTTCTTGATTGGATCATTTGTTCTTTGGGTGTTGAGTTTGATAAGTTCTTTCTAGATTTTGGATACTAGCCCTTTATCTGATATGTCATTTGCAAATATTTTCTCTCATTTGTCGGTTGTCTTTTGGTTTTGTGGACTGTTTCTTTTGCTGTGCAAAAGCTTTTATCTTGATGAAATCCCAAGAGTTCATTTTTGCCCTGGCTTCCATGCCTTTGGCGATGTTTCTAGGAAGAAGTTGCTGCG